ATCCCACGCGCGGCTGCGGAGCTCTGCGCCCTCGGGAGCGTGCCCTGCGTGGGGGCTCTTTGCTGGAAGAGCTGGAAAAGCCAGAAGGAGCCCTTAAGTAGCCACAGGCCTTGGGAATGTCTCGTTTGATGTTGGTCAGCCAAGACCAGGAGATGGCTATGTGGATGGAGGCCTTGAGTCATCTAGCCCTGCCGTCCTCCACTCCTACCCAGTCATCTTCTCTGTCTTCTCCGCTTGTGTGCCTGTGTGTGCAATTAATCCAGGTTTCTGCTTGATTTGAAATCTTAAGCACCATGTGCTTTCGCCTGTTTGCTCTCTCCTCCTCCTCCCCATCCCCGAGGGGATGCGGCTGCTGGCACGTGTGTGAGCTGACGTGTGGCTTTCGGACCCCAGCCCTCCTCCCAGACAAAAGTCGCTTGTCCATCCTGCCCAGGCTCGTGGAAGCCAAAGAGATGTGACCTTCATCTCGTTACTCAAAGAGAGAGGTGACTAACGGGGCTCCATTGTGCTCTTCCCAGTGAATGGTGTTCCCTTGATCCAAGAATAGCTCCCAGCCCTATTCGTTATGTGGAGATGAGTCACGCAAAGCCTGTCCTCTCCAGCCCTAAAGTCTTGAAGCTGTTCCCGATTCGGGGTCTGGCTGTCCTTGAACGAGCCAGGCGCTCTCTGAAAGGATCTCGTTGCAGCCTGGCTCCGCTCGCCGCTGGCACAGCTGTCTGGGTGACACTGTCCCACTCCCGGTGACATCTGGCACTTGTAGGGCAGAGACAACTGCAACGGCTCCTCCTCAACCCCCACCCCAAGCTCAGGGCCCACCACCAGGCAAGATTCCCGACCCGGAGAAGGTTTTTCCACTTCCTTCCCAACTGGTCGGGACTGAGATGGGTCTCGTGGCTCGGCTGCCCGGCAGGAAGGGCAGCTCCTCCGGCTCCACGGCCCACCCGCTCCCTGGGAGCGGGTCCCTTTGGCACGGCGGGGGCTGGCCCCTCGCTGGGCTGGATGTGGCCTTGGTGTGCCTTTGCAGTGAGGTGACATCTGGGAGGATGGCTCCGGCCGTGCGCTGTGCTCCAGCCTTTCCCAACGACCTTCTGACCCTGTGTTTGGTTTTTCAGGGCCGCCCTGGCCTCTGCCCACCAGTGCCACCCCCTTCCTCAGACCCTCAGTGTGCTGAAGAGCACCCCTCAAGTGAGGGGCATGCACACCATCATCAGGTAAAGCCCCCGGCACCGCGCTCTCCTGGGGTGGGACAGGGCTCAGCTTGCTTTGGCCTCCCAAATCCAACTAGTGCCCTATCCCTGCGGTTTGGCACAGGACAGAGAGTGCTGGGCGCTGGGTCCAGGAGCTGTGCTGTTCTTCGTGGTCCTGCCAACAATTTTTGTCAGCTTTTTCACCTTAAAACTGCCACTGCAATTCCAGGCACAGCGCCGTGCAAACGGGACACCGGCAGCCAGGCGGGGCAGGGGCTGCCCTCCTCCACGCAGCCTCTGACCCCCATCGGCACGTTTTTGTCCAAAGCTCACGTTGGCTTTCCTTCCCCTCCAGAAACAAGGAGACGAGCAGGGACGAGTTCATTTTCTACTCCAAGAGACTGATGCGGTTGCTGATTGAGCACGCGCTCTCCTTGCTCCCGTTCCAGGTGGGTGTAGGGTGTAGCTGGGAGGGTGGGCAGCAGGCACTGTTTCCTCTCCGACTCCCAACCCATAACAGCCAGGGAGATGGGACAGTCCTGGCACTGCTCTTCCATCCTTCCCTGTGTATCATCCCTCTCCTCCCAGATTAAAAAGGGGCAGTGACAGCCTGGCCCTGGGTGACAGCTCTTGGTCCAGCCTTGGTCTCCAAGGGGCCAGACCAGCTGGCAGCTGGAGGGCTCCCCGGTGCCAGGGCTCCTCCGAGAGCCCCATCAGAGCCCCCGGTAATGCTTCTCGTGTGTTTTTTGTAGAGTTGCACAGTCCAGACCCCGCAGGGACAGGACTACGAAGGGAGGACATACAGCGGGAAGCAAGTAAGTGGAAGCAAAAGGTACTTACTGTTCAACCCTGCCCCGTGGGGCCGAGTTGAAAGCCATGGGGACGGGGGGGAAGGACACCCCTGGCTTCTCAGGGCTTCCATCAGGCCTGCTGTCATGGTATAATACCCCGTGTCATCGGGACTGGGGGCAGGTCGGTAGCCAGGGGTGCCATCAGCACTGTCACCGAGCCACTGCTGCCTGAACTGGGAGCAGGGCAACCCTCTCGGCAGGGATGTCCTTTGGGGTACCCACTCCTCGAGGCCCAGTACCATACTGGGGTGGGGCGTACGCCCCGCGCCATGCCTTGCCGTTGACACCGGCCGTGCACTGCAGATCACTGGGGTGTCTATCCTGCGAGCGGGAGAGACCATGGAGCCAGCGCTGCGTGCGGTGTGCAAGGACGTCCGCATCGGGACCATCCTCATCCAGACCAACTGCAACACGGGCGAGCCAGAGGTAAAGCCGGGGGCTGACGAGGGCATCTCCTGGAATTTCCCTGCACGGAGCGGGGGTCACTCAGGTATTTCCTGAGAGCTCTGATCTTGACCCGGGGGGGAGCCGAGGGCTTTGAAGGCTTCTGAAGAGGGCTTTGCCAGCATGGTCATGCCCATGGGGGCTGGTTTGCTGTCCGAGTGTTCACGCCAGCGCCCAGCTCCACGCTGGCATCCCAGAGATAGAGATGCATGAAAGACCCTTCCCTCCCCCAGCCTCGAAGAGAAGGGCTGGGGTTGCTCCGTTCACCTGCAGCCTCTAAGCTGGTCTCTCTCCCCAGCCCCACTACCCGCGGCTGGTCATCCTGATGGACTGCACGGTGTCCACGGGCGCAGCGGCCATGATGGCAGTGCGGGTGCTGCTGGTACAGAGCGTGTGCAGGGGAATTCCAAAGGCAGGGGGAGACAGGACAAGGGGTAACGGGTTTAAACGGAAAGAGGGAGATGGAGATGGGACATGAGGAAGGAATTCTTCCCGCAGAGGGTGGGGAGGCACTGGGACAGGTTCCCAGAGAAGCTGTGGATGCCCCATCCCTGGAAGTGTCCAAGGCCAGGCTGGATGAAGCTTGGAGCAACCTGGTCTAGTGGAAGGTGTCCCTGCCCATGGCAGGGGGTGGGACTGGGGGGGCTTTGAGGGCCCTTCCCACCCAAACCGCTCTGTGATTCCATGTCGAGCACACAGAGGGCAGATGGTTCACCCCCCAGGAACATGCCAGAACCCAGCCGCAGCTCTGCTGAGACTCTCCCTCCCTTGTGAAGGAGGGTGTCGTGGGAGCCAGCACAATTTGGGGTGACTAACCAGGCATTGGCATCGCCCCTTCCTTGTGTCGCAGCAGTCTGGATCTGGTTGGTTTCTTGTAACCCCAGCTGGACACGGGGAGGGGAGGAAAGCAGCTCCAGAAAGTGCCCCTGGAAGCCTGGGCCATAAGCTGCCAAGAAGCCCTTACCCCAGCTGTCTCTGTGCCTTTCCCATAGGATCATGATGTCCCGGAAGACAAGATCTTCCTGCTCTCCCTGCTCATGGCAGAGATGGGTGTCCACTCAGTCGCCTATGCTTTCCCCCGGGTGAAGATCATCACCACAGCCGTGGACAAGAAGGTGAATGACCTTTTCCGGATAATCCCTGGCATCGGTGAGTATCTGGGTAGGAATGACCTGTTCCAGGGGGATTTTCGGTGCTTCTGGCCCGCTCAGCAGAGGAGGTAAAGCCCTGGTTGTCAGCAGCACCTTAGGTTTGGCCTCATTTTACTCAGAGACCCACTGTCTCTCCTGGGTCTTTCTGTTGGGTGGGTGTTGGGATCAACGTGCACACTCAGAGCTGCCAGGCAGCATCATCCTGTTGGAAGAGGAGCCATTCCACATGCCCTGAGCCTCCTCCGGCCCCGGGTGGAGAAGCTGGGCTGGGACAGCTGGAGCCGACCTGTGCCCACCTCGTTCCTGAAGCTGCCACCTCCAACCAGCTCATCCAAAACAAGCCCACGGTGTCCTTCTGTCCTCACCTCGGCGGAGCCAGGAGACACCCCTGACACCGGGTGCTAAAGCAGCCTCCACGCTGCTCCAGTTTGGGTGCTACACAGGTTTAGTGCTGTTCACGCCGTCAGATCAACCTGCTTTGGTTTCGGGGGGCGGGGGTGCAGGCCGGAGGAAGGGTCCCGCGCTCCCTGCAGAGCTGCACCGTGATCTCCTCTCTTTCTTCCCGCAGGGAACTTTGGAGATCGGTACTTTGGAACAGACGCTCCTCCGGACTGGAGCGACGATGAAGATGCTCTCAGCACTTAGCTGGATGTGGAGATGCCACCGGCGCCAGGCAGCTTCAGCACCGCACCTTAACCCCTTCTGTCCGTCGCAGATTTCTCCTGCCTCCTCACCGAGCATAGATATTTTTTTCAAATCTTACATTGGAGATGTAGGGCATATTTTTTCAAAGAAACAAAAATCCTAGTTTGTGGGCAGTCGCGTGTCCCAGCGCAGAGCGGAGTTAATTTATTTTAATTTAAATATTTGCCTATATAACTTATTGGAGATATTTTATAAAGAAAAATAATAAATTTTTTCTCTGGTTTTCTTGAACAGAGCTGTTCTTTGTCATGTCCCCAGGATTCCCAGAAGGATTCGCGACCCTCGGGACTGCTGCCCTGGGAGGGGAGATGCCGTGAGCGGTGGTGTGGGGATCGAGCCCCTGCTGTTGAGGAGCCCTGCAGCCCTGCAGCTCTGTCTCTGTGCTGGGTACAGGCAGGTGGTTGTCGTTCTCTTCGGTGAACACTGAAGCTCTTGCGCCCCAGGGAGAGCCTGTCCTGTGGGATATGCTGGCTCTGTTGGATGCTACTGAGCCATCACCCCATGGGAGCTGGTGGGGATGGAGAGCACCCTGCAGCTGTTCTGCAGGGGTAGGGTGACCCCCTCAGATCAAGGGCTCCTGCCTGCAGCAGGGTCGTGAGTGGGAGAAAAACCCAGCACTCCCATTCCCAGCTCCACCTCTTGCTGCCTTGCACTGGGGAGGAAACACTGTGCTCTGGATCCAAGGGAAGGGTTGGTACCAGAGGGTAGGGCTGTTCTTCATTGGAATCATAGAATCCCAGGATGGTTTGGGTGGGAAGGGACCTCAAAGCCCACCCAGTGCCACCCCCTGCCATGGGCAGGGA